TGCTCTGCCTGTACTGCTAAGGAGACATTCCAAACTTTTTCTGTTCTGATTATTGGACCTAAACCTAAGAAGAATGCTGGAAACGCTGTACAATCAACTGGAGGCCATAAATAAACACAGGGCAGATATTTGAATAGGCCTGGGACACTTCCAGGGATCCAGGGGCAGCCACAGCTTCTCTGCCCAACCTGTGCCAGGGCCTGCCCACCCTCCCAGCCAGCAATTCCTTCCCAATATCCCATCTCTCCCTGCCCTCTGGCAGTTTGAAGCCATTCCCCTTGTCCTGTCCTTCCAGCCCTTGGGAATAGTCTCTCTCCATCTTTCCTGGAGCCCCTTCAGGTCCTGCAAGGCCACACTCAGGTCCCCCCAAAGCTTCTCTTGTGCAGCTGAACAATCCCAGCTGTGCCAGCCTTTCCTCCCAGCAGAGCTGCTCCAGCCCTGGGATCCTCTTGGTGCCTCCTCTGGGCTCTCTCCAGCAGCTCCATGTGCTCCCTGTGCTGGGGACTCACAGATCCCACAGGAGCAGAAATGAGGGATCCTGGAGCCACATCAGGACACATCCCTGCCCTGTGCCAGGGAAAGCTGTGCTGTGTGTTGGAATTGTGAGTAATTGTAGCTGGGCTTTCCTGGAGGAAATCACAACCCAGAGCCATTTACTGCCTGGATTCTCCCCTCTCCCTGGCATTAAACCATCAGTGCCAATGCCACCCACTGCACACAGATCCCTACAGCCCCTGCAACTGGTGCTCCACAAACACTCACAGATCTGTGAGAAAAAAGCCAAACAGGGGTGTTTTTGTATTCTTATTTTGAGGAGAGGAGAAAGGAAAAGGAGGAACTGCTGCCATCACCTGGAAAAAGCAAAATCAAACACAGTTTTCTCATCACTGCAGCTCGACAGGTTCTCTAAGCAATAAAAAGGACCTTAAATACCTGGGGAAGGCACGGTGTGTGACACTGCCCCAGCTGGCCCTGCTGCAATGGAAATCCAACCCCTTCCCGTTGTTTTTTTATGGAATACTCCAGAATAAAATGTTTGTCGAGCCATTAAAATCATAGAATCACAGAATATCCTGAGCTGCAAGGGACCCACAAGAATGATCATCCAGTCCAACTCCTGGCCTTGCACAGGACACCCCAACAATCCCACCCTGTCCCTGAGAGTGTTGTCTAAAGATATGAAAAGTAGAAAATAAACTAATAAACCCCACAAAAGTGCAGTGTGGAGGATAATAAAAGAAGAGATTGAATTTCATTGATTTGATTGTCATTTTTTGTGAGTAACCAGCAAGGGGTCATCCTATCCTAAGGGCATGAATATCAGCTTGGAAACAAATCTGCTTCTTGGGGGTGAAAAGTTCCTGAGTGTGACCAGTGGGAGGCAGTTTGGGAACAGCAGGATTCGCTCGGGTCTGTGGCTTGGATTTTACAGTCACAGAAATGCAGAATTCCCCAGGATTTCACTGACAAAGCAAAGTAAACAGTGAGGGACCTGGGAGAGGAGGAGAGTGAGGGAGGAGAACGTGGCACCAGGAATCCTGACAGGGAAAAGGGACACAACCACCTTCTCCCAGGGGCATGGAGGGTCACTGCTGTGCTCCCAAAAAGCAGGTGGCCTTGACAGAAGATCCTTTCACAAGGATATCGTGGGACTGGCAAGGCAGGAGTTCTGCAACAGCTTTTAAACTTTTTAATAATCTTCATGAGATGCTGAACCGCCAGAATTTTAACAGAGGAAATGAATATCAGATATCTATAGGAATACTGAATAGCTATATTGAATAGCTGTATGAATAGCAAATCGGTCTCTGTCACCCCAACTCGGCCTTTTTCACCCCCAAATCTGAAATTTTCACCCCCAAAACCTCCCTCCAGACATCAAAATCAGCCTTTTAAATCCCAAATCGGACTCCAGACCCCAAAATCTGCCCTTTACACCCCAGATCTGTCATTTTTACACCTAATCAGTCCCTTTACAGTCCAAATCTGCTTCTTTTCACCCTAATTTTGCCTTTTTTAACCCAAATCTGACTCTCTTTGCCTCAAATTTGCCTATTTTTGTCCCAAGATCTCCCTCCAGGCATCAAAGTCAGCTTTTTTAGTCACAAATCTCCTGCAAGACCCCAAAACATGCCATTTTCACCCCAAATCTACCTTTTTCACCACAATATTTGCCTGTTTTACCTCAAAATCTCCCTCCAGGCGCAAAAATCTGCACTTCTCACCTCAAAATCTTTCCCTTTCAACCCCAAACCTCCACCCAGACATCAAAACCTGCTATTTTCACCCCACGTCTGCCTTTTCCACCTCAAAATATCCCTCCAGCTTCCCCAGTCTCTTTCACCCCAAAATCTGTCCCAGACCCCCAAATCAGAATTTTTCACCTCAGAAGTGTCTCTCCACACCCTGAAATCTGCCCCTTTCAACCCCAAACCTGCTGCAGCACCCCAAAATCTGATTTTTTTAATCAAAAAATCTGCCCCTTTTACCTCAGGATTTCCTCCCATCTCCCAAACTCTGTCTTTTCCACCCCAACATCTGCCACAGACCCCAAAATCTGAAATTTTTTACCTCAGGAATGTCCCACACACCCCTAAATTTGCCTCTTTTACCCCCAAATCTGCCCCGTTTACCGCAGAATTTCCTGACTCCCCAAAATCTGCCTTTTTCCACCCTAAATTTGCCCCACACGCCAAAATCTGAATTTTTCACCTCAGGAGTGTCACCAAAACCCCCAATTTGTCCTTTTTTACCCAAAAATCTGCTCCTTTTACCTCAGATTTTCTTCTCACCTCCCAAAATCTGCCCCTTTCACTACAGAAATGTCCCCACCCCCCAGTTTTGGTCTTCTCTCTTAAAAATCTTTTTTTACCTCACAAGTGTCCCCCACATCCCAAATTTGCCTTTTTTTACCACAAAATAAGCCCCTTTTACCTCAGGATTTCCTTCCACTCCCCAGAATCAGCCTCTTCCACCCAAAATCTGCCACAGACCCCAAAACTGGAATTTTTTACCTCAGAAATGTCTTTCCACACTCCAAAATCTGCCCCTTTCACCCACAAATCCGCCTCAACACCCCAAAATCTGCATTTTTACCTCAGAAAGGTCCCCCACATTGCCAAATTTGCCCTTTTTACCCCTAAAGCTGACCCATTTACTTCAGGATTTCCTCACCCTTTTCAGCCCCAAATCTGAATTTTTTTACCTCATGAATGTCTCATAACACCCCAAAATCTTCCTCTCACCCCAAATCCACCTCAGACCCCCCAATAAGCATTTTGCACCCCAAAATCTGCACCCACGCTCTAAAATCTGCGTTGTTTTTTACCTCAGGATTCCTGTCACAAATCCGCCTTTTTCACCTCCAAATCTGCCCATTTTACTTCAGGATTTCCTCCCAACCCCAGTTCTGCTCTTTTCCCCCTAAAATCTACCCCAGATCGCCAAAATCCACACTTCTCACTCCAAAATTCCCCCCCTCCAATCTGCCTTTTCACCCCCAGACCTGCCTCAGCCTCCCAAATCTGCCCTTTCGCCCTCCCAACCAGCCCCCTCCCCCCAAATCTGCCCTTTTTCCCCAAACAACGATCACCTCGCGAGGGTTACCTGTCACCTCCCTGCCCCTGTCGCAATCTCCCGGGTATCCTGCGCTGGCCATGACCACACACACGGCCGTGCTGCTCTCGGACCAGGCTGGCCTGAAGCTGCAGAGTTTGCCATCAATCGCTGCTTGAATCACCTCATAAAGATCATTTTTGAGCAGAGGAAGAATTACCTGTTGAAAATTTTCACAAGTAACAGAAGTTTTGTTTTGCTGACTTGACTGAATTTCCCCTAGGTTGAACTTCAGCAGTGGAACAAAATTTGTGTATGCCGAACCAGCAGGCTGGGAAACCGTGGGTGAGCATTTAATTTGCAGCACCTTTTGGCACCATAGGTTTAGACACACGAGATGTGAACTTATGCCGAAGGAACGTGAATTTAGGCCTCTCCCGTTCTGCTTCTACTCAAAAAAACAAAAATTTGAGGAAGAGTTCTTTAACTTAAGGCCTTTAACTAATAATTCACAGGAGCTGATCGGCCAAAATTTAAAGTCACCTCATACATTGTCTAAGATGTTTGTACCCAGGTCTTTCCCTAGAGATGTTACAACAGGCAGAGATAAAAGCGTGAAGCATCTTTAATTTTCCAGTACATTCCACTTACCTGGCACTGGGGATCCCCAAACTGACACTTGAAGTTTAAAATCTTCACCCCCTCTTTGGTCAGCATTAAACTTGTTTGCAGCACACCTGGACAGAGGGAACACAGCCACGCAAAGGGATTGAAATATTTATTGTTTTCAAGGACTCCCTGAAATGCAACACAGTATTTTGGAATGTGGGATTAATTTCATAAATTAATAATCATCATTTATCATAAATTAAAATCAAATCAAATCATAAGGAATTGGGAGCAAGGCATCGAGTGACTTCTGTGGGAATCACCTACCTTTGCCAGAGCAACCTTCACATAAAGATGTGAAGAAAACGTACACTGGAGTGAACAGTGTGACTGAACTTAAGCATATGTTATGCCCTGAACCACGAATATGTTTTAATTAAAAATATTCAATAAAATGTAGTGTGTTTCATGGAGAAAAGACCAAGGTTCTTCTCTCCAAAGGAAGAGCTATAAACCAAATGAGCGAGGCTTAATAGTGCACGAAAAATGAACTGCTACTGGTTTGGTTTCTAAACCAATATTATTTGGAGTTCAGAAGCAACCTCTGACAATGGAACTTACCTGGGTGGGATTTGCCTTGGTTTTCAGCTGAGTGATTACTTACCCACGTAGGCTGTTCCTTCTTGCCTCATGCTATCCACGACGTGCTGGAGGATTGAACCCCTGATCTGCTCCAGAAGATCTTCTGGAACCTGAAAACAACATCGAACTGGTTGGACAGTGATGACATTGGCTGGACTTGCTCACAGGACCTGGAAGGACTGGGGGGAGGAACGGCCTGTTTGCTGCTGTCCCACCCCAACCTGTGAGCTCCTTCCCTCGTGCTGCTGCTGCCTGAAGGATGGACACACCAATCCTCTGCCTCCCGAGGTTTTTTGGTTGGTTCTTAAGGAGGTTTGAGACTGGCAACCTGGGCTGGACACAGGAAGGCTTGGAGAAAGCCACACCAACAGTGTGTGTGAGCAGCGTTCTTAGAGCAAGGCTGCAAAGCTTTGGGAACCACCAAGAACCCCAAGGTTATGTTCATAGAGACCCTGGGAACACAAGGAATTTGGCAGGAATTTTTGAAGTGATGCAAATGGGAGCAGAGAAACACCAAGGCTGGGAATACTGGAAGAGGTGGAAGAGAGGCCATTCCACAGAACCCTGGCTAAATTAATTAAATCCTAAAGAACGATTATTAACGTTTGAGCCCTGTAATCAATCCCAGAAGAAATCAGCATAGCAACAAGAACTGGAACAGGCTCCCCAGGGCAGTGGGCACAGCCCCAAGGCTGCCAGAGCCCCAGGAGCATTTGGACAACGCTCTGAGGGACAGGGGGGAGTGTTGGGGTGTCCTGGGCAGAGCCAGGGCTGGGAATGGGTGATCCTTAGGGCCCCCCTCAGCTCAGGACATTCAGTGATTGTAAGATTGGGGCTTAAAGGAAACCCCTGGAGCACAGGCTGAGCAGGAGCAGGGCCCTACCTGAGGGACTGGACAATAGGCTCCCATCCCTCCAGTGTTGGGGCCCTGGTCCCCATCCAGCAGCCGCTTGTGTGCCTGGGCCGGGGGCATGGGAGCGATGGTGACGCCGTCCGTGAAACATGAGCACTGCGAGGAGAAACACAACAGCAACCGTGACATCATCCTGGCCTGAGGGACACCACTGCTGCTCACAGCCTGGGGCTCAGAGCTGCTGGGAGAGCAGCAATCACAGCAGCCCACTCTGAGTTGGGTTGAGAGGACCTTAGAGCTCATCTTGTTCCACTCCCTGCCACGAGCAGGGACACCTTCCCCTAGACCAGGTTGCTCTAAGTTGTTCCAGTTACCAAGACAAAGTCCACACAAACATGTTTTAGGTCTCTTTAGGGAAAAAAAAGATCATTTCCCACTGAAAATTATCATTATAATTCTAATTTTATGGCTAATGTAGAAGAGAAACCTAGGACAGCGTGCACTGATTAGAATGACACCACACTGCATATATGTAACACGCAATCTAAGCAATGTATGTATGTATATATTTCTCAAAGTGTAAATAAAACTATTTGAAACAAAAAACTCATGTGTTTATGCAGGAGCAGAGCAATGATGCCAAAAAATAAAAGCACAGCATCACCCCATCGATCACATACAGAAAGTTCTTCCCCTTGAAGAAGTTCTTCAATAACAACCATCTCTCCAAACATTCTGTCCTACAAAAACCAAAGCAAATGCCCAGTTAGCAAACATGAATCCATTGGCTAAATTCTCTCTTCAGTTTCTTTTTAACAGAAAAAAACAGGGTATCTTAGAAGTCCCCATTTGTGTTGGGCAAAGCCAATGGCACTTCACTGTGAGACAAGGAAGCCACACTGAGATGCACTTCAGCAGGCCCTGGGAGCCAAGGAAAGATTCAAATCTAGAGAAGCAGGGCAGTGGGACTCGAGACTGGAGCAGGAGTCCAGTCACAAAATCTCCAAGTGCTGTCTGGGGCACACAGGAGGAATCTGAGGAGGAGACCCAGAGAAATTCTCAAATGGGCAGGTTCCTCCCCAAAGTATTTGCCTCCTGCAGCTGGAATGACAAACTCACAGACTACAGAACATCCTGACTTAGATTCCCGGTGGTTAACTGGGGATTCATCCACCTGCATGATCTCCTGGGCAGCTCTGCAGGCTTCCTCCTTGCTGGTTGTGATGGTCACCTCCTTCCTGGCCGCAGGGCCCCTCGCCCGCACCACTCGCGCAGGGAAGTCCGTGCTTGAAGGAAAGCAAAGGGAGGTTCAGGCACTGCTTCTGCCTCCAGGGAAACCCTCATTTTTCACCTCAGTGCCTCCCATAGTCTTACTTTTTTTCAACACATCAGAAAAATGTAATTTTTTTGTCTTTTAAATGGCTTATCAAGCATCCTGAAGGAGCTGATGGAAGGGAAGGAGAGCTGGGATCTGTGAACACAAAACCAAGCTGCTTCAGTTCACAGAATCATAAAGTTACAGACTGGTTTGGGTTTGGAGGGACCCTAAAGATCATCCAGTTCCACCCCCTGCCATGGGCAGGGACACCTTACACTAGCCCAGGTTGCTCCAAGCCCCGTCCAACCTGGCCTGGGACACTTGCAGGGCCTTCCAGCACTCTGGGTGCAGGGCAGATGCACACAGAACTTGCCAGAGGAGCTTCCAGTGGCCCAAACTCACCTGATGATAAACCTGCAGGCTTCCTGGGCATTGCTGAAGGCTTTCCATCGTGCTGTTGGGATCCCGTGCCGCTCCAGAAAGGCTTTAGTGAGACTGGTGTTGGATGCCAGCTGGGCCGCCTTGGCAGACGGGCCAAAACACCGAACTCCTGCTGCCCTCAGGTCATCAACAATCCCTAAGCAGCAAAAACAGCACAGGAGCCAAGGGGACCCCTTGCAAACATGAAGTCACTCGACAAAAGGAAACTCCCATCATCGTTCCAGCTCTGGCACACTTTTCCTTGTCTCAAATAATTAATTCATCCTTAAAATGAGGTTCTGATCACCCATGACCCGTTCTATGGCTCAGTTTAAGAGGTCTTTAGCTCTGTACAAGCACTGTCACAGTTACCCCCCCCCCCCATTTCAAGCCAGAATTTAGGGTACTGATTTGTTCTGTCAAACGAATTTATTTCAGCCTTACCAGCTGCTAGCAGAGCTTCCTCTCCAACCAACACGAGTCCAATGTTGTGATCTTTGCAGAACTGGGTGACAATGGTGTGATTGCTCACCAGGACAGCTGAAAAGGAAAAGGGAATATAATGAAATGATCACTGTAAAGCCTAAATAAGAGATAGGAGCTGAGAATACCCTTGTTCCATCTCCCTAAAAGTGTGATTAAAATAATGAAACAGCCCATGAAGGGCAAAATAAAACAACAATTTAATAATTAGAGTCCAAAAGGAATGGTGAACATTTCCACTTTGCATTGCAGTTTTTAATATACATTGCTAACTTATTAAATCTATTTTATTTATTTGTCACATGTAATCAAGATAAACTTTTATCAAAGCTGCTTATCATAACAATAACAGCCTTGAAAAATAAAAGTTCAGAAGGAAACTCCATGTCAACATGTGAGCCAAGGTTTACTCAAAGCCAGGGCAGGAGCTGAATTCAGCTGGGCAGCCTGGGCAAACACCGGGGGAGTTTCTGTGCAGAATTTAGAGCTTTGAGCCCTCTGTTCCAGGATTTTCCAGAAAAAAAATGCACCAAAAAAAAAAAAAAAAAAAAGGCCCTATAAATGATCTGTGGCACCAGTAAAAGGAAAGAGTAACTGTTACCTCACACCCCCTCAGGACCGCTGTGGGCAGCTTTGATTCAGTTCCTGCACCAGCAGCACTGATGGCCTGGCACAAGATTTTATTTGATACCCCCCCCATTACCTGAATTGGAGATTTTTCCACTGTCGGCCGTGCCTGCATTCCCTGGAGCCACAAACACGTGTTTCACGTGCGGGGACTGCGCCAACTTCCAGGCCAGGGCGTGTTCTCTGCCCCCACTGCCGATCACCAGCACCCGATGGGCCATCAACCTGCGGGACACAACCGCCACCTCCATCAGCTCTGGGACACAACCGTCACTGACATCACTATTTATTGCACAAACTCAGGTAAAAATCCCCCAGTCTATGGATTGGACCTCCCAGTTGGGATTTTGAAGCGATATCAACGCAGTTGGTGTTACAGAGGCACCTGCTGGCCATCGATCCCAGAAGGGACTGACCAGCAGTGCCACTGGGTGGACACATCGGGCACATCTGGTTTAAAACCTGTCAACAAAACCACTGGGAATTTTTTCCCCTCTTGTTCTAACATAGTCAAGATTTCATCTCTTCAGTGTCCCCAGGCTGGAAATTATCGTGCCATCAGTAGGTCTCATCAAGTTCTCTGCACAACTACACAGGACAGGACTAAAAGGGTCCTACAAATGCTCTAACAAATATTTATTATAAATTCCTACAAAATAAATAATAATTATATATAGAATTAATAAAGATAACATAAGTAAATATACAATAAAGGAATATAGAATTGTATCATTCTATTATATTAATATTATGATATATTAATAATTCTATTTCAATGTGAACACTAGGATCAGTCTAGGAGCTTTTAAGAGTGCAAAAGCTCTAATAAATACATTTATTACATATTTTCATACAAATTTAGAATAAATATAGAATACATAAATACAGAATCAATAAATATATAATAAGTAAATGATAAATACACAATAAAGAAATATATAGTAAAGAAATGTATCATTTATAACTCCACTTAATATTTAATAAATCTATTTCAATCTGACCACTGGGGTCAGGAGTGCAAACATCCTGGGAATAAACGGCAGAGGGATTTCAGGGCAGATTCTACACTCTGACAGTTGCTGAGAAGAAACTCCAGCAGAGCAGCTGCTCCATAAAAGCAGCGCTGTTCATCTCACTGCCACAGTGACATTTGAAGCAGCTCCTCAGAATGTTCCTTGGCAAATTAGCTGGGATTTATTTCAGCGATGTTATCACAGGTCACATCTGCAAACTCCATTTTCCGTATGTGCTGACCGTGGGCAAATGTCAGGGAGAGCCCCCCCCAAACGTGGCCTTTGAGGGAGACGCTGGTGGATGCACCAGTCCCTGCCCAGCACAGGGATCGTAAATCCCACGGCCATAAAGCCCAGCTTTGCAGGCACTGCCCGCTCTGCTCTCCTGGGGAATCAGAGCCACTGGAAAATTCATCACACAGCTCCCAAAGGCAGCTGAATGGCAACACTGAGGGATGATATTCCAGCAAAGATTCCCAGAGCACTGTGACAAATCATCTCTGGAGCTCCTGGGACAGTGTTACAACAGCTTACCCCGACACAAAATCAAATTTAACTCCAT